GGGCCTGACCCCCAAGGGCTGAAGGTGCTTGTGGGGGAGGTGGGGCGGGGGCTTTGTGTGTGAGTGAGCCAGAGGCTCTGTTCACTTCTGCAGGGAGAGACCATTTTCACCAAATAGAATTTTGCCTATGTTTTAAAAGTATTTGAATGTATTTGCTTTGGCATCAGGTAGGCACAGCCTACATGATTATGTGGTGATAAAATATTCCAAAACTAAATACAGTGCCCGTGAGCCTGGGGTCCTGGACCCTGCCTGACTTTCTTGTTTTCTTATTCTTCTCTTGCTTTCCTCCCCTCCTCTCCTTCTTCCTCCTCCTCTGTCTCCTTCTCCCCCTCTTCTTTTTCTTCTCCCCCCCTCTCTAAACACATATACACACACTCACACACACACACACACAAGTACATAATAATAACAATAATAAAAGTTCACACACGATTTCATCTTACCCTCACTTTTTGATTTGGTAGCTATATTACTCTCTCCATTTTACAGGTTAAGAAACTGAGGCACAGGCATACAGAAAGAAAGCAGAACTAGGATTCACATGATAGGAAAGGAAAACCTGTGTTCTCTCTATCCATCTTAGGTTCATTAGCTGCATCCTTGCAAATTAGATCGACAAAAGAGATTAGAAAGGGAAAAGCAAACAGAAGTCTCCGAGCAGGTGCACCGTGCATGCACATGGGAGTGCTCAGAGCTCAGTAACTCCAAGGGGTGGGTAAAACTTGGGCTTACATGGCATCTTAACAAAACAGAGGTGCGTTTTTGAAAAGGGAAAGGCAAAGGAAAAGGACTCTGAGCTCCTAGGGGCAGCAGATTGTGGGAAGGCAGATATATGAGGAAATTCATGGTAGATAAGGGCTGGTTTTAGTGATGTTTGTTGCGTTGATTCCTCTGGTGCCATCTCTGGGCTGATAAGGATCCAGAGTTGTCCCTTATGATTAACTTCTGTCCTTCCTGGGAGAGAGCGGAGGGGAGACACCTTCAAAAATGTATGTCCTGCTTTTAGGGAACTAGGGGGAGGGCAGAGATCTTTTCTTACATTTACTTCTTCTGAACTGCCTTCAGCTCAAAATAATCCTTATGCCCAAGTGGTGGTTTGGGGTGGCAGACTCTGCTAGCCTTCAATACATGGGGTACTCTAATTCTAAAGCCCAAACTTTCAACCACTGTGCATACAACCTGCTGGTTTGTATAAGCTATCCTTGATGTTACCTGGTTGTGGGCAATATGTCCGAAGAATCAGAAAGGGAATGCTGCCTGAGTGTCTTTCTTACATTGTGGGACAAAGCCCAGATTAGAGGAGCAATAACCATGGGCTAGAATGACTATTGGAAGGACTGGAATGACTGTAGAAGGGTTGGGATGATCATGAAAGGGCTGGGATGACCGCAGAAGGGCTGGGATGACCGTGGAAGGGCTGGGATGACTGTGGAAGGGCTGGCATCTGGAAAGGGGCAGATCCTAGGTCTCTTCTTCCTGGCCTTACCAAGTTGCTGCCCAGTGTTTTCAGAAATCTAAGAGGATAATTACAGGGTTACTATAGCACTGTACTTTGTTTATTACTGAAACAGTGTGATTATCTAAAAAAGATTTCACTTTGACCCAGTTTACCTGTCTCCATGACCCTTTCTAGTCTTTATTATGATTTTAGACTGAAAATTTGAAGTATCTATAGATAGCAGCAGCAGAGAGATGAACAAATGGGATGTGTTTTAATTCTCAGGACATGTAGGTAGGTTTATCTGGACCATGTTCAATAGAGGCTTTCCATTTGGGGCGTTTTTTCCCCTTAAACCAACATGGCGAGGGCTGTGAGTAGCATACTTTATGCATATAATACAGTTTTTTCCAAGATTCTTCTTCTGTGTCTTGTTCTGTGTCTCGTTCATGAACTTTAAATGCCCATTTTCATTGAAAAAGAAGAAGAAACAGTGGCAGCAAGTCTTCAGCTCTCTGTAGAATAGTCGGTGATGGTCAGGGCAGCGGGAAGCCTGTGTGGAGGTCAGCCAGGGCGAGTTGCAGCTGGATTGGGGTTGACCTCACGTTGACTTGCTTCCTCATTAGTGGGGATGGTAAACAACAAGCTAATTACATTCTCTGGAAGAAGGAAGATGAGCTGGGGAAACAGAAGAAATTATGAAAAGGAATCTAGAAGGCATGCTGCTAGTTCATTCATATTGAAAACTCGAGGAGATGACCCAGAGGGGCTGTGCTTTGAGCCATGATGCTAGCACAGTGCTCGCTCGTGGCTCATAGAAGGCTAATATTTAAATGTGATGATAGTGGTGGGTGGAACAAAGCCAGGGCAGCCCTGAATTTCCTATTTTGAGAGAAAACGTTGAAGCTTCTGCCAAATAGGATGTGGGGATTGGTCTTTGTGGTTCACTGCATGGTCCTTCCATTTTGTGCTCTGCTTCAGTAATGGAGCTATAATTGTGTGTCAGTTGTGGACACTTCTCTGATTTTAATCAGGTACCTCCACTACAGTGCACATACTGTGTGTGATTTCTCCTGTTCTACAACCAGCCCCCTCCACGCCCCGCCCACGCTACCAGCCCCTGACATCTGTTAGGTGCCCACTATCCGTGGCACTGTACTATGCATATTTTGGGGATTATTGCTTTTAGTATTCACCACGGCTCTGTGAGCGGGTACCACCGTGTCACAGATGAAGAAACTGAAGTTTAAAGATGTTAAGGAAATTGACTAAGGTCACATGGCTGAGTGTTTTAAATGGCACTTGGGCACATGACTGCCCAACTCTGAAACCCTCAGATTTCATCACTGTGTCATACTGTCGGTGAAACTGCAGCAATTTACCCACGTGCTGCCTGGCCCCTGCTTATCTTGTGACCAGCAGCAAGAATCTGTAAAGTGATACGTGGAGGTGTTCCTCTGTGTGTGTTCTGTGGCTAACCTCAACTGCTTCTCCTAGGAAATCTTCCACTATCTCCAAATGACTTTCCACCCTTGTTTGATTCTCTTCCACTTATTTGAAACTACTTCACATGATTGATCATGAGTCCTATCTGAAAATCCATTGCAATCGAGCCCAATAGTGTTAAGACTAACATTACTGGGGGGCCACATATAAAAACCACTGTAACATGGGCACAGTATTTCTTGTGTACCTATGTCTTATTTCCTCAGCAAAAACTGGAGATTTCTTAATGGCAGGGGTTGTGTTAGTGTAATGGCCTTATCTGGCAGTTCCATCCTTTCCCACATAGAAGGTTCTCAGTAAAGGCTTGTTGATTGACAGCTAATGGGGTCAAGTGAGGAACTGTCCTGTTACGTGGCCTGAGATATTCAGATCAAAATATTTGTGTTTATTAGCATTTGCTGTTTGCGTCATGTCATAAACCAAATTCTTCATCTTCTTGCTTATTTTATAATATTGTTTTATGGATAATCGTTCGCATCTCTCTTTCTCCGTATTAACCCTCTTTCCTGAAAAACTTCTGGTGATGACTTCTGTTTACCTTTTTCCATTACAGTTTCTGATTTCACTTTCCTTCACACATCGCCCTCATACATTCTCTGCGTTAACAGAGCTTTCCTCATATGCACAGGGCATGCATTTTATTTTTTTATTTTTTGTGGGGGAGGTAATTAGGTTATTTATCTATTTATTGTGATGGAGGGACTGGGGATTGAGCCTACAACGTCGTGCATGCTAAGCTTGCAGTCTACCATATACCTTCCCTCCTAGGGCATGTATTTCTAAATTAAGTTTCTTTCACTCTGGCAAAGTGGACGGCTCTCAAGTAATTACCCGAGAGGCCCCCACTGCTGAAGAAACCAGACTAATTCCTAAAACATACAGAACAGGGAAACCTTTCTTTTCCCTGTAATTTTTATTTTAAAGATAATTGTTTACTTACCTAATTGGTTCTGCATGAAATCCTTCTGCTCTCTATCCTTGGCATGTTGTCACTTCAAGATTTTTAGTTTTGGGGGGAAGAAAAAGGGAAACAATTAAACATGAAAGGTGAAAAATTATAACCACGGGGGACAGCTGGCTTTTATCTGATGTGACAGTTCCCTTTTTCTGCTACGGATGTGTCGCACTTCTGTAGGGAATGAAGCAAATTCATGACTGTGACAGGAATGTTCTGTTTGATGAGAATTTTTATCCTTGGAGTGTAATTATTTTATTGATTGTAGAGATGAATAGCATAGGGTTTCAATTCTGGCCAAGGTAGAGACTCCTTCATAATGCCTTTTCTTGCTGTCCATTTGTCCCTCTCAAAGATTATGCTATTCACGGTGTTACTTCCCAGGACTTTTGGACTTGATTAATTGAATTTCTTCCACTTCACTATTCATTAACTTGATATCCAAATATTTTGAACATTCATCTTGTGAAATATGACCTCACTGGATCTCCAAATTAACTTTCATTATTATAACCCTGTTCTCTTCATTTTTAATTTATTTCTAATATATTGTTTTCTACAAAGTTCTTCTCTTGTCCACTTTGGTTATTGGAGATGACGACGTCCATTTGTAAATGAACTGTTATTAGGTTTCAGGCTTGTCATTTGGAGCTTCATTTCTTTGGTGCTCTTTCTGTGTAACTGACTGCAGTCTTTGATCATTTGCTATTAGTTTTCCATGTTCACTAATTGTGTGAAAAAGAAGCGAAGAAAGGACCCAGAGAGGAGAAGAGAATGGAGTCAAAGTTCTCATTAGAGTGACATGCGTTGAGCATTAGGGATTCTGTTTTCCTTGTCATAGTGGAGATTTTCTTTTCTCAGAATATGAAGAAGATTTCGAAGTAGAGGAGAAACGAGATGAGACAGCTAATGAAGGCGGACAGGCGGATGGTCAAACGAGTGGAATGTCAGAGCCACCCTCAGATGATGAAACGGGTCTCTTAGACCCTGAGAAGGAGAGCAAAACCTTGTCGCCGAAGGCACCAGATGCTGACGACAACGTGAAAGATGAAGGTGACGGATTCTCTGGGAGTGAACTGGAGGAGGAGCAACAGGGCAGGCTGCTTAGCTTATCATGTGACACAGTGTACTCATTACTTTTCCTTTTATTTAATGAGGTCATCCTTTTTCAAGGAATGTTTACAGCCTGGTTCCCTCACCAGACGCCGCTCATCAGCTGGTCTTCCGTAGATACCCAAATCATGGGTCACTCCTTACCCCTTCCTCTTTCCTTAGTTTGCTGGGGTTTTTCAGCGGGGGGTCCAGTAAAGCTTGTAGTGACACATCTTCTGTTTACTTAGAAAGTTCCTACTTTAAAAAAAACTCAAACTATCTCCTCTTATATACACATATATAAAAAAAAAACATATATACATACACACACACACACAGACACCATTTTTGTGGTTTTGGAAAAATGAGAAGTAGCTCCTATTCAATTAAAGGAAAAATTGAAAATTCATCCTTCCTTCCTTCCTTCATTCCTTCCTTTATTTATCTTAACTTACCTTGGACACCGAATGCTGGCATTTTAGCTTGTGGAAGGATCACCACTCTTGGCAACTTTGCACCCCTCACAGTCTTCAAGCCTAAAATGACTCAATGTTCACAGGGAAAATATCGAGCTTTTCAGATAGATAAAAAAAGAAAAAACAAAGAAACAAACAAAACAAAAACCGTCATCATCTGAGGCATAACTTAAATTTTTAAGACTTTTTAAAAAATCTGAAGTTATGAAACTAAGGTCCAAAGAAGGAACCCATTTCCAGCTTTGTCCTATAAGAAAATTTGGCCAAGGCTATGTGTTTCTTAGTAAATCAAAGATCTTTCCTGGTACATTCCTGGCATTTACCAATAGTACAATACAGTAACTACAATACAATAACTCTCTTATATGTAAGTAAGTGTATGTCTTTTGTAGTCTGCTTTAGACTAGAGAATCAGGTCATATTATGATGACTTTTTGAATTGCTATTTATTTCCCTATTCTTTTCACCTTTTAAATTTTTTCTGTATAAAATCTTAAAATTTTATTTCAAGGAATATATTAGGATAGTGCAAAACAAGAGTAAATAAAGTAATCAAGTAATCACAAGAGCAAATATTTACAGTACCATTCCCTTCAAGAAAGAATTCAAGGAAACCTATTCTAAAATTTCATGCACACATACACAAGGCAGTAAAAGAAAAGAACAGAAATTGTTTAGAGTAAGAGAGAAGAGAATTCTACTAGATAACTGTACGTGAGACCATGACTGCGCTCCAACTAAAATTGTAGTTGTGCTTCCTGACAGTCAAAGTAAAGAGCGAAGCACAATGTGAAAAATTAGAATGATGTTAACTTTCAGTACATTTGAAAATAAGATTTGTTGCCATTTTTAATATAGTTGAAAGAACTAGTCGATATTAATGATTGGGCTTTGAAATGTTTTTGTAAAGTTTTAAATTAGGCCTCTTTCTAATTTCTCTTAATACTTACATTTTATGTTTCCAGACATGCCCAACATATAAGCTTTTTTCTCAATTTGAATGACAATATTGAATTTAAGTTTATATTCCTACTGTATGGTATAGAAAAAGCTAAAGAATTCTATGGAAAAGTCATGTCACCTGAATCAAATTTTAAAGAGTCTATATAAATGACCTGAACCTGGGAAAGGATTGCAAGTGTTTGCATATAATTATAACTGGCTCAGAACACAAAGAACTCAATTTTTCATTTCTTCAATAATAGTGGGGAATGACCAAGTATTGAGTTCATGAAGAGTCAGTACATTATTTCAATACATGGTCATCTGGAGATTATTTTTATACTCCATATTCAACGTGCTTTTTTGGGATCAAACCGATATTTCCCAAGACAGAGTTATTTTTTATGTTCAAACAGACAAAGATGTAGGCAGTACTTGGATGTTACTTGGAGGGAAAGCTTTAATCATTTAGACCTGTAATTATTGAATAACTGACAGTGATAGATAAGCTTTAACAGTGAATACTGCTTGCATTTGAATAATTGGAGTCCTGTGTTTAGAAAAGCATCCTATAGGTATTGTTTATTAAGACTCAATTTTGTGCTAAGCACTGTGCTAAATATTTTACATGAATTATCTGATTAACCTCAAACAACCTTAAAAAACAGGTACTTTTTCTTTTTATCTTCATCTTATAAATGAAGAAACTTGGAAGTGGTGAGATGAAGTAACTCACACAGCCAGAAGATGGGGGGCCAAGATGCAGACTTCAGAGCCTGGATTTTGGAGAAACAATGTAACATTACTTCAAATCAGAAACTAGTCTCTTATTTAGAATTAAAGCAAATCCCCCCAATAAGAGGATTTTGTTTCCTTAAGAATGTGCAGTTTAGTTATACATATACACACACACACATTTTTTCTATTCCTTTTGATTACAGCTCATTACAAGAAATTAAATATAGTCCCCTGTGCTATACAGTAGGTCCTTGTTGTTTATTTTATATACAGTAGTGTGTGTCTGTTATAATATGTATCTGTATATGTATAACTGAATCACTTTGCTGTGCAGCTGAAACTAACATCATAAATCAACTATACGTCAATAAAAAATGAGTTAAAAAAAGAATGTATAATTTAGAGGCATTTATCTTGAATTCTTCATCTTATCCTATTTTTTAGCATCTTTTTTTTTGATTTATTTGGTTTTTAAATGGAGGAAATTAAAATGGACATTTTCTAATTCTACCCAAATTGACCTTTCTCCTCCCTGGACGGGCTTCCCCGTCCACTCCCAGGCCTTTTGCTCAGTTCCAGCTCACCCTCTCCTCCTCCACAAGACTCTCCTCCATCAGCAGCCTCCCCTGAGCTCTTTAAATTATTAAACTCTGTCATTCAGTAGTTCATTTTTCACTTATTGCTTCATTTGTGTTACATTTTACCCCTTAACTTAATTGCACAAGTTAATAACACACAAATTAATTATACTATAAAAGCTAGGACTGTACATTGTCTCTGTGATTCCTCACAGAGGTAATGTCTTAAAAGATATTTTGTGAATATTAAGCACTTACATGATTGTTTAACATTAAGAATATGAAGATACTTTTGTTAGTGCTACGATATCTAGTTACATTTACACTATATGATGATTATTGGAATTTTATTCAAAACATCATAGAGAGCTGCACTATGTGGCTGCAGAGTATATAATACTTTAAATAGGTATGCAATGAAAGCTATCAGAATATATAAAATCTAGTCCACAATGTTGGGAAGTTTAAGAACCAAAAATTAAATTGGCTAACTCTTTTATTTTGTGCTTTCAAAAATGACATTATTCAACAAGCCTTTTTAAGTGTTCCTTTGCATCCTTGATATTTACATTAAAACTTTGCCGTTACTCTGAAATAAAATCTCATTGCTTATTACTGTTTCTTTCCTCCACCTCCATCCAGGCTCTTTTATTTTCCATCCCTTTATTTTGATAACCTGACCCCTTGTTATTCAAAAACATGCTTTTTAGCATGCGGAGTATCAGAATTAGAGATTTCATCCAGCAAACAAGAAGTGTGTATGAAAAGTGATAATGGCAGGATAGATCCCTTGGAACGCTCTGTTGAAAAGCCAGACAGCATTTCATCTTCAAAAGTGTAAGAGGCATATTGTGACCACTGAATCCTAGACACCAGTACATCCTTTTTATTGACATGATTAAGGATCTTGCTGTTAGTATTTGGATGTGTTTCATTTGAACCTGCCTGCACCTGTTCCCAGAGGGCAAACAATTGCCCAGGCTGTCACTCTTGTGACAAGTCGGCCCCATTTAAACTGCCAGCTAACAACTGCATCGGCCCGCCTTGATGAATACACTGTGCTGAGCAGCCCGCGAGTGATGGAGTGCCAGGGACTGAGCACCGACTAAGAGAGGACCCTGCTTTAGGAATGATGTGTGAGGCTTCCCATCGTTTAAAAAGAGTGACAGCTTCTTTTGCTCTGTGTTTGTGTTGGCAACCCCAGGCGCTGATTCACCAGTTGAAAATAGATCGTCACAGATGAATGTTATAAGGTTGAGGGGAAAGTGACATGTCGCTGAGAATAGACTTTTATGGACAATTTGGATGATAGTGCCTATGAGTAAGAGGTGACAACTAAGTAGCTCCTTATGAGAAAAAGGACAGAGGGAGGGAGAGAGAAAGGGAGAGAGAAAGGGAGAGAGAGAGAGAGAGAGAGAGAGAGGGAGAAATACCTGTTTCCAGAATATAAAGAAAATAACATAAGAATTTAAGCAAAATTTTTTCTATTAAGAAAGATTAATATTTTACTTGTGCTATTTTCCACTAAATTGAAGAAGTAGGTCTTACAGACTTTTAAAATCTCAGAGTCGCAAAAATACTTTGTTTACTTGGCTTACTGACCTCAAGAATCTCACTTGTCCTTTCTTGGCCTGACTATGAGCTTGAACAGGCACATACGAGGGAAAGCTGCTCATTCTGAGTTGAAATTGTGCATGCTGCGAACCACGCTCTGTGGACTCCGGTTTGGCGTGACTGCTCCTTGGACCAGAGAGGATTAGGGGAAGATTGTAAGGATTTTTTTGGTCAGAATCTGTATCTGTGATTTTCTTTTTGCATAATTAGTCACATTTTAATTTTTTTTTTGCAGTCAAAAATAGGTTTACTGAAATGTTTTTAGTTGTAGCTGAAGGCAGCGACATTTACAACACTGAGCTTTTGTTAAACCCATAAACGTGGAAATTGCTTGCAGAGCAGTTGTAATAGGATCAGAATCTTGTGAATGTTGATGGGATGGTTTGCATGTCTTTCAGCATAATGATTTGGTACTCTGCAGACACTTCCTGACCACCAGCCTGACTCCCACCTGAATGCAATAAATGCAAGTCCTTATGCCATTAAAATAGCAGTATGAAATATCAGCATGGTATGCATATAGCACATGAAATATAACAGTATGGTAGGTTAGGTTGTTGATTTGAGATTGTTCTTTTTTGAGGATGGCCTGTATCACTATGAACTTCCCTCTTAGGACTGCTTTTGCTGGATCTCATAGATTTTGTGTGGTTGTGTTTTCATTGTCGTTTATCTCAAGGTATTTTTTAATTTCTTGTTTGATTTTATTGTAGACCCATTGGTTTTTTAGTAGCATGTTGTTTAGTCTCCATGCTGTTGTTTTTTTCTCATTTGTTTTTCTATAGTTGATATCTAGTTTCATGGTACTGTGTTCAGAGAAGATGCTTGGAATAATTTCTATCCTCTTAAATTTGTTGAGGCTTCTTTTGTGCCCAAGTATGCAGTTGATCCTAGAGAGTGTTCCATGAGCACTTGAAAAGAATGTATATTCTGGTTTTGGGGGATGTAATGTCCTAAAAATATCAACCAAATCCAACTGCTGTATTGTGTCATTTATTATCTCTGTTGCCTTATTGATTTTCTGTCTGGAAGACCTGTCCAGTGATGTTAGTGGGGTGTTATCAATGACACGGAAAGAGAAGACAGTGGAAGATTTGGAGTCCGACTGACTGTGGAGAGAGAAAAGTCAGAGATTGTGCTTAGGATGTGGCACCAGGGCACCAAACATGCTGGCTTTGGCCAAGCACTCTGGCAATGTGTGAGATCATGTCCTTACCACAAAGACCAAGAGTAGATTCTTTACCATCAGTACCTGGAGGGAGGACTGGAGAGACAGGTAGAATTGGATAGGGGGCAGAGTTTTTTCCTAACATGCCTCCAAGACAACTTTTTCCCTCCTAATGATGAAAAACAATTTACAATTTACACATCTGCCCCAAATTTCCTTTATGTAAAAGTTTTTACATAAAAACTTAATTTTTAAGAGAACAAATAAAATTAGTGTTGAGAATCCCATTCCATAGCCCTAAAGCAGTTTGAGTTTTTTTGTAGCAAAATCTTGCCCCAGTGTCTTTATGAAAATGAGAATAAGAAATGAGAGTTAAATGAAATTATACAATAAGGTTAGAGAGAAATTTAAAAACTGAAATGAGTTTATATGGGCGGGTCATGTACCCTCACCACTTGGAGGCCATTCACTTCATTCCCTGCTTTCTTCTTTTAAGGATGGGCTCAAAATTGAACCAGAGCATGTTTCATCCTTTTGAAATAAAGTAATACAATTAATAGAAGCTACTAAAGAAAGAGGAGCATTCTTTCATTTATTTATTTTTTTAATGTGAACAACTCTCAGAGCCAAAAGTGAGAGTCCACACATCGACATTCAGATGGTAGATACGGATATTTTTGGAAGCGCAGAGCAAGTATAACATTGCTTCCCAGCTAAGTGCGCAATTAACGAAAACCACTGCTCAGACCACTAGCAAACAGGAGTTGTTTTTTCTTTTTTAGAAAAACAAATGTGAGATGTTTGAGAGAGGTGGAGATCCTAGTCCCTGAGTTTTCTGAACTAGTACGAACAAGAGAGAGGACGACTGTCCTTGATCAGCTATGTGCTCCACAGACAGCACATTCAGGTTTCATAAGGCGGAAAAAAAGAATGAGTGGCTCAAGCACGTGCACGATTCCCTTGGGAAACTGGTCATCTGGTGCCTGTCAAGGTAGTTGGGAGATAAGAAGGAATGGAATGGTACTTAAGGGGTTCTGTTGCTTAAAGGCTTTTTAAGTTTGTTTTTTACTGCTGTGTAGCATCTCTCAAATCTTTGTCGAAACTCTGATACGTCTCAGTGACTGTACTTAAAATGCTAAGCCCTGTCATGGAGAGCCGTTGGGGCTGGAGGGAAGAGAATAAGAGGAAAGACAGGTATTTCTTCCCTTAAATTCTGCATCAGCTGCTACAGCCATCTGTGTAGCTGCCAAGGAGAAAACAAAACAAAACAAAACAAAACAAAAACCCAGAAAAGAGTCAGGAGCACACAGAGAAGAGAAAACGAGAAAGCTAGGCAGCTTGTCAGTGTGGGCTATTTCATTTGAAAAATATATGTTACAAAAAACAATTATAAATACAGATCTATTAGGTTAAAAAATCAAAAGCAAGTTAGTGTTTCTTTGACCCATGGCAGTGGAGGCGGTGACTTTCAGTTGGCATGTTCCTTCTAGAGATTCATGTGTGTGTTACTTTCTTGGAGATTTTTAATGTTTTTGTGGGTAGTAAGTACTAAACCATTTGGCTCTGGTAAGTTTCTAGACAGCATAGCTGTAGCATCACATCAGTGTACTGCCTAGATCTCCTAGAATCTTTTTTTTTTTTTTTACTGATTCTGTGCACCCATCTCCCAGCGTCTGCAGCCTCTGTCTTCTTCAGAGAATGGCCTTGGGCTCCTGGCGTTGCTTCACCCTCAGGCACACGGATCGTGGAAGTGCCAAGGAGTTTATGCCCCACAGCGTGGCCTGCAGCCCCGTCTTACTGGAACAGCTTATGAAAGTCCAACTTCTTCCTCAAGGGAGGAAAAATTCGAATATAATTCAGACTTCACAGGTTCCCATGGGATCAGGCTGAGGCTGAGGCTGAGATGTTGCTTGAAATAGCTCCCTTGATTGGCTTCTTCCCTTCCCTGCCCTGCTTCCTCCGCACCCAGAAGACTTTCTCCTGGAGCATATCCTTAGTACATCACTTGCACGTGAATCTTCATCTCAGCATCTGCTTCTGGGGAACCTGGAAAAAGACAGTATCTCCTTCTACACGCACACACAAGCATTACCTCGAATATTTATTAAGTGTCTTGTTACCATGCAAATGCGTAGATCTTCTTACCATACCCAGCTACCAGGGTATACTAGTTTGGGGGGTGTTACAGTAGATAAAAATTTAAATTTTATGCACAGAGAATACTGTAGCTATCCAAGATGATAACAAAATGAGTGCTCTTGCTGAACAAGTAAAAGATTATTCAATTTCTTCTATAACAAAAATAGATACATACAAAGGTTCTCCATTAAAATGGCTTTCCAAAAACTAAATAAGTATAATTGGTTTTCAGTTAAATGTGACTTCCTATCAAAAACTTCTGTAGATTCACAGATGACGTAGGCTTTTCTTTATCATGACAGTTATGTGAAATATATGGGAAAAGCGTATCAAATCTACTAAACTATATTAAAAAGTTTAGTATGATTCATTACCAACATAATTCCCACAATTATTATTATTAAATTTCACTTTCCAGAAAAACAATGAAGTCATCTTCTTTATTTTTTGTAGATATAAAAACTACTTCATCGACCTCATCCAGAAGTCACCCGTATTCTAGTTGCAGTGAAGATGAATCTGCAGTGGGGGACAGGGAAGACCATGCCCACAACAGTCCAAATGAAAGTGCCAGAAGTTTGTCCTCTCAGGAGTTGAGTGAAAATGATGAGCCAGAGAAATTCCACCTTCCAACTGAGGATTCCCTAGAAACTGAAATTGAAGAGCAAGAAATCATAAAAGCAGAGGTGGAGACCAAGCCTCTGCCAATAGAGGAGAACTTGAAGAATGGTCTTAAAGAAGAAATGGAGAAAGGAACCCAAGTGATTGCAGAAGGCTTATCTGAGAAGTCCAGGGAACGTGTTTCCAAAGAAGGAAAGGAGAAGGAGAGGAGTAAGCTTTGGGAAGGAAGCGCTGCTAAGGTGAAGGGCAAAGAGGCGGGTCCCCGTAGGGTGGATAAAGGCGGTAAGTATGGCCATTGAGTTGGCCTGCCGTTGCCCCCGTGCATGGAAGCTGATTTTGGTCATCACGTTCTGCTCAAGCTTGGGAAATACAATTGTGGTAATGCCACAGGAATTCAATTTTTTTCCTATTTCTTTCTGTGCCACAAAATCATACATGCATTTTCAGCTTGCTGTCTTCCTTCTATTGCATTTTAAAAATTACTCGATAATTCTAGCCTGTTTCCTATTTTCTGTGAATTTCTTCCCATGGTAATTCTATCTCAAGAATCAAATAAAACACAACATATGTCTGAAGGCAAGGCTATCTGTGGCTTGTTAGAGGTTATTTAATATTGGCGATGCGATTTGTTCTTAGCCAAATAAGCAGTGACATGTACACACAGCTAACATTGATAGGCGCTTCCTATGTGCCAGTGCTAAACACTTACATGTATAAACTCACCTAATCCTTACAACAGCCCAGTATCCCCATGAGTTAGGTTCTGTTTTTATCATCTCTTTTTCATAGGTGACAAAACTGTGGCTTGGAGAGGTTAAGTAAGGCATCAAGGATCATACAGCTGATAAGCATTCCTAGGATTTGAATTCAGGGAGAGTGGCTGCAGTTTCTAAAGTTTTCTCGTTTTTCTGTGCAATAGGAATTTAGAGTTAGATTAAAAATATGAAAATTTCATAGAAAACTACAGTCTTCACTTGAGTTCTCTGAAACTGGGTGAATTTCTGATCCAGGGGTTCCCTGGGTATGTAGGACAGTTCCATTTGACACAGAAAGTCTTGAGGAGTGGCCCAGGGTAATCAGATTCCAGTACCTTAGACACATGGGAAGTCTGCTACTTTTCTCAACTTTGGGAAGACAGTGACAGGACTGAGCTGTGTCCTGCAGGCAGCGGGTTATGCCGCAGACTGCGCCCTGTAACCTGCACCTCTTGTCCTTTCCCTGCCCTCTCCCCGCTGTCTCCCCTGCCAACATGGTGGGCATTCTTTTTGACTCCAAGGTAAAACTTAGTTTCATATTTTAATGCTACTGAAATCCATCTGTGTTCTGAAACTTATGAATACTTACAATGTCTGTCATATGTATGTTAGGAACTTAAAGGCTGTTATTAAACCACGGGGGCCCACATCTAGGAATTGAGGGCGTCATGGTTATCTTTCCATTCAAACATTATTACCTATCTTCTTACTGTGTGCAGGGCACCATGGTCAATAAGAAATGTGTAAGAGAGGGCTCCTTCTGTAAAATGTTAAGAGGAAGGCTTGGCGCACCAAGAGCTGGACAAGGTTCAGTAGTCATATGTAAAACCAGAGAAAGTACAAAGCTGCGGGGTTTCAAAGGAAGTTCCATTAGATGGACACCTTGAATGTTTTCATCAAGGACTTGTTTAAGGAGGGCTTTAGAGGTTAGAAAAGATTTTGAAGGTGGAATGGAGGAGGATAGAAGCATGCCAAACAGCAGGAAGCAGCAAGGGCTTTGAACAAGGTAAACAAACACTCTAGAGTAACCAGTTTGCAAACTTCAGCCTACAGGTCAAATCTGGCCTGCTGTTTTGTTCTTTTTGTATTGCCTATGAGCTAAGAATTTTTTTTTTTATTTTAACTGATTGGAAAAAAAAATCAAAAGAAGAACAATGTCTGGTCACATGTGAAAATCGTTAAATTCACATTTCAGTGCCAGAAAATAAAGTTTTATTGGAAGAGGGCCACGCTCATTTGTTTACACATTCTCAGGGGCTGCTTTTGCCCTGCAGGGGCAGAGTTAAGCAGCTGCAGCAAAGATCCTATGACCCACAAAGCCCTGAGGATTCACTCTCTGGTCCTTTACGGAAAAAGTTTGCCAGCTGCTGCCAAACTTGAACTATAACACGAAGACCCTCAACATTTTAAAAAGAGTTTTACCATATGTGAGTTAAGATTCTTACTAAAATATATTTGAAAACTTTTTATAAAATAATTCAAATCTTGGATCTTGGATTTCATTCTTCAATTCTAGCTCATATAATGTATAATTTGGAAAATGTGTTAATTCATTAAGCTGCTGACCAAAAAGGTAGAGATGTTAAAAGTTCAGGAACAACATTGAGTATTATTATTATTAATTATTATTATTAATATTATTGTTTCCACTTCAGAAAACTAGATTGTTTACCTGGAATTATGTAAGTAAACATCTTGTAAAGTTAGGTGCACATGATGTGGGCTGTAATTAGGTGATGGACAGAGTAACAGACGTTCGACTGGGACCATGTCACTTGGAAGAGAGTGGTTATTTTCCCCTCTGGATTTGTGAAATGAAAAGTGTATAGATTTATTATGTTTCTCAAATACTATGGGAAACCTGTGTTCTTGACTTGATAACGTCTATAATTTTAAAACTTTTTGTTACTATTTCTTAATTGAGGCAGGTTTAATGCTAGGGCAAGATTTATGACTGTTTATCTTTCTTAAACTCTAATATACGTACCAAACCTCTGTATCAGTGTTTGTTTTTCATTATCAGCTTATGAAATAACATTCAGAAAACAGAGAAAAGTGGTTGTAAGAAATTATAGATTTATCACACAAAAAAAGCACTTTCAACATTTGGTCAGGCTTTTTATTTCTAAACTTAGACTTCACAATGTTGTCGTATTTCTAGAAAATGGTGTATTTTGCTTTTCATTCTTTTTTTTTAACATTTTTTATTGATTTGTAATCATTTTACAATGTTGTATCAAATTCCAGTGTAGAGCACAATTTTTCAGTTATGCATGAACATATATATATATTCATTGTCACATTTTTTTCTCCGTGAGCTACCATAAGATCTTGTATATATTTCCCTGTGCTGTACAGTATAATCTTGTTTATCTACTCTACAATTTTGAAATCCCAGTCTCTTTGCTTTTCACTCTTAACATTATACCAGAAGCATTTTTATGTTATTATGTAATTCTCATGACTATGCTTAATATCTGTGTATTATTCCATTCTGTGTTTTTTCTCATAATTTAATCATTTATCTTTTTTCCCTACTTTCACTATTATTAATAGTACTCTAGTATTTTATTGCCTAAGTTAATTTAAAATTAATATTCATTTTCTTAAGCTAGGTTCCAAGAAGTTTAATTTCTGAATCAAAGGTAATAGACATTTTAAGGGTTTTGAAAAAATATTTTTTTCTTACAAAAATTTGGTTGAAAAGTTTATACAATACAGACAGATGAGAATAAAATTAAAGCTAAAATCTTCCTTGCCCTAACTCTACTCTCTTTCCTGAGAGATAGAGAGACAACTGTAGATAAGATTTTTTTGTATGTGTATGATTCCAGAAAATTTTTCCTCTCTCTATATATACATATATACATGTATTCATGTATTATATATTCAGATATTATTTTTATATACAGATGGAAACATGATACGTTTTATTTAAGATTTGTTCTTTTTCACTTGACACTGTATCTTGAACATCTTACATCAACACATATAACTACTTCATTCTTATTTACTGAACATGGTATGCATTATATTGCCTTAGTATTTTATAATTTTGCATATTTTCCTTAAAATATGTTGCTTTTTGTGTAAGAACTGGCAGATCTTTCCTGTGGTTCATCTTCCACAAAATAACAAAATTTCTTGGTTGCAGAGGACCAGAGGCAGAGAGAATAAAGTACAGTGGAAAATAAGACATTAATAGGCAAAAGAAAACGAAGGCCATGTGAAATATTCAGAATGATGTGGAAAGCTTATGCTCTCAAAACTGAAGGATTAGTAGATTAGAACAGTTGGGTGCTGATTTTTTTTAAATATACTCATGGAAATGATGAAATAAACTTATAAATATTTGAAATAATAGATTAAAGGAAGTAACAGATACTCTCAAAATTCCTCAAAATAAGCATTCCTAAGAAAATTTCAGATAAAATAAACCAGGTCTTGAATGCATCGTTCATTATATTGATACTGACGCCAAGCAAAGAGGCTGCTTCCTCCTCTTAGACTGGATCTTCAATTAGATGGCTGAGGGGGAGAGGGATGGAACCAAAGTTATATGCTTGAAATGAAAGTCATTTAGGTGATTATGCTGCAAAACACAGCTCATATAAATTAGGCCAGAGGGCTGGTGAAGGTTGAAATGTGTACATTTTACGTAGATCCCTGATTAGAATCTTAGGTTGAAATGAAATGGGGGCTGAGATAATATGTAAAAGATCCTATCTCATATTTTTATAGTGCTGAATTAATCACTTTCAATTAGGCTTAGAATAAAAATTGTGATTGTGTTAAGAACAAGCTTCTGGGCTTAAAAATCACGTACAATTAATGTTTTGTAGTGTCTAAGCTAATACAACTTAATCTGAATTGCTTTCACTTTTCCCATAGCAATGGATAAATCTGTAAAGTACTATATTCAGTGCCTTCCTACCTTTCAAGTTGATAGCATAAAGTGAGAGCTTCTTTCTCATCATTGTATAGTATGTCACACTTAGTTGGGCTTTGTCCAGTCCGCCAACAAATCAGGTGAATTTATATAAAAGACACATTGTATGCAGTGAAGTGGATAAAGTAAAAGGTCATAGTTGCTAACTACAATGAGACAGTGTCCTTGGGAGTTAATTTAGTATTATGAGGCATTGTCCTACCTTAATGTGTTTATTTTTCTGTTATTTTCAGTTTAAGCTGTCTTAACGCTTTGGGACACATGGTGCGCTAATGGTGGAGCAATTCAGGCGCGTTAATTTGTGAAGTTAAAATAATGTATACATTATGAATATAAACAAAATGTAAGAATAAAGTATTGGAATGTAAGGTATAATGTAAAACGCATATAGAAATAAGTATTTTATACCTTTACCTATGACTCAGGAGGAGCCCCAGTGCTTGGCCAGGTAGTATAAGACTAAACCATGTTAGGACTGAAGTAAAATGCAGTTTGATCAGCATGCGGGCAGGACAGAATGGGTCTTGATGAAAGTTTAAGAAAACCACATATTACGAGTTATAGTCTAAATACAATGTCTGAGTGGATTGTAAATAGATTTCTTCTGTCAATGAATATTTGTTAGGTATCTGCCTTAGGCCCACTGTTCTCGGTGCGAGCATAACGAAGTCCTTGCCTGTGCTGGTGTTAATATTCTACAGGGAGATATGCCTAACAGGTGAAAACTAAACATGCAGTGGGGCATCTGAGCTAAGTCCTAGCAGAAAGAAAGATCAGGTAGGATGGAGTGATGGTTTGAGGAGCGGGTGGCATTGTAGGGCTGGCCTCTCTCAGGGAGGGGACGTTTGAGCGGAGACTGAATGCCGTGCAGGGCCGAGCCACTCGCCACCCGAAGAAGGAGCACAGGAAGCACAGGGAGCAGCACATGGAAAGACCTCTGAACTAGGAGCACAGTCGTTGCGTGGAGGGCTTGGACAGGAGGCCGGTGTGACGAGGGCAGAATGGACAAGCCAGAGAGTGGTCAGCGACGAGGCCAGAGGAGAAACTGAGGCGCCGTGGGGAGGATTTTGTCTTATTCTAGGATAGGGAGCCATTGGAAGACAGAGAGCATACCAGTGACATGAGCTGAAAGTTTTGAAAAGATGATTCTCGCTTCTGTGGAGGACAGACTTTAGCTTCCAACAGCTGTGGTCTTGAGTTGTAATTAATCCTGGGTTTTGTAAGCCATGTTTCAATGCCAAAGGTAACGCAGGAACATCTTTACTGTGTAGGCAGATGATGCTAGTCATGAATTTTGTCATGGTGGGTTGTTGGGAAGATAATTGATTGGCTACACAAAGAATGATCAAAGAACAGGCACAGTTTTGAAGGTGACTGGGAACTTAGATAAACTGGGCCCTGTGTTTACTCTGCGTTTATGGTCTTCTTATGCTCTTAAAATTCAGATAGAAAGTTCTTGGCAAGACTTTCTTCCGATATAGACTGCTCAGGATTCTTAGCATGTTTTAAGGTGGAAACAGTTTGTTTAGTTTCAAAACAAGCAGAGGAGAGGGAATGAATTTAGAAAGCTTGCCTACTAATATTGAAAACTATATTCTTGCTACCACTTTTCAATTACTAAATTATTTTATTTAGAAAGAATTGGTGGAAATTGAGACACTGTTGGCAACAGTATAGGGAAATAAGGCCTTTCATCATTTTAGGTGAAATTGTTAATGCCTCCTTTTTTGAAGAACAGAGAAGCATATATCAAAATCTTCTAAAAACACTCTCTTTGACACAGAACTTCCAATCCAGGAATCTGTCCTAAGGCAATAGTCAGAACAAGTAACCAAAATAATTTTAAGTGGTATTTAAAGTAGCTTTATAATAAAAACAAAACAAACAAACAAAAAGAAATAATTCAACATCTAGCACTAGGCATTGGTCAACCAAATTTTAGTCAAACCTTACTGGGACATTCTGTGCAGTCACTGAAGAACTCTTCTTATTTAACGATACGTGGAAATAGTCATAATATGTTGCTAAATGAACAAAATGGGATACAAAATGCTATCTGTCATAAAAGTAGAGTAAAGAATACTTAGAAATCCACCAAAATGTTAACTAGTAGTTGTTTCTGAGTGGTGAAACTACAGTAATTTTTGTTGCCTTCTTTGTACTTTTTAATTTTTTCAAGCTTTAGATAGTGGACATGTACTATTTTCATATTTAGAAAAAGTGCAATATATATTATTTTAAAATATGTTTTCATAATAAAAAAGCTAACATTGTAATATAACAATATTTCGGTATTTAAAAAGAAATCTTAAAATATCCTATAGCAGTTGAGTGGAAAAGGTGTTTTCCTAAGAAATTCTCTGTATGAAATTCTCTTCCATTTTGCTGCGAATACTGTGGGAACTGATAATGCCCTTTGCTTTTAATGGTCCTCTCTATGGAGAAGTGGAGGATCGGAGCCCTGAGGGATGATGGGCTAAATGGATGGAGGAAACAAGGTGATGTGTCACATGGCTGGCACAGGAGTCTCGGGACACACAGTTCTTCTTTACTGTAGGTGAAGAGTGGTCAAGGTTAGACACTGGCCAAGTTCTTGCTTTAAAGTTTCAGTTTCAGAAGAACATCTGAGGAAAAAATGACCAAGTGAGGCCCTTTCTGATCTCACACCTAATAAGTCCTTGATGCTCAGGCCAGGGTCCCGTTCCTGCTGATTCTGAAGCAGGCAGCACCTAACTGTACAGGCTCTCATCGACGTCCAAAGCCCAACCCTCCAGGGGCAAGCCAGCTGCATGAGCAAGTGGTGATTACAGTCCTGAGACTGAGGGACCACGTGCTTCAGTTAATTCTGAGTGAGTTGTAATTTTCAGATTATGCTAGTACCATTTGGCTTCTTAGAATAGTTTTTTGGTTCAATAGCTGCTAATTGTTTATTTTAATTGTTATTGTAAATGATATTAAATATTATTGAGGTATAATTGACATACATTGTATTAATTTCAGGTGTGCAACATAATGATTCGATATTTGTATAATACACCATATTTCTTTATAGCCTGGGAAAAAAAACCTAGTGCCCTGTCAGCTCTGATGAAACAAGGCTTCAAGTAATTGCTATGCTACCAAATCAGACTTCCTCCCACCCTCCTGTCCTGTCATGCTTGGGGTTTCTATTATTTAGCCAGCCTAGAAGATTTATATGCAAAGACCCAAAACACTGTTTATTTAAACTCTCTAGTTGTACAGTGTTAGCATTAATTAGTATAGTGGGTAAGATGGTATTTAACTTATATTTGCTGTATTTATAAAGTTACCAAAATAAAGATTGACTTGATTAAAATAACTCGACTATAACCTAATTGTCATGAGTTGATGTCATCTCTAAATTATATTATTGTAAAAAAATTTTTATTTGGCATGTTGGATGAATGAGGAAAACTGATACTCAATATTTTGGTAAAGAAAATACATTAGACTTATAGGTTGCACCTCTTTTCATTTCCATGTTTGGTCTCTTAAGATTAATATAGTTAAGTCATTCCATTTTTTCCCCCAAAGTCACATGAGACAGATATTTCACTATTTATTTCCGAACACAGAGGGATCAGTAAGTAACTAACTCTTAGCCATTTATCTTAAACTGATCACATTCTAGTTCTGTTTTTCTTGAAATACAGTCTTTGGATCCAACTGAATCAGAATATCTGAGAGGAAAGAAAGCAAGAAAGTGAGAGAAGGGAGGGAGAGATAAAAAGAGAAGGAGGAAGACGGATAAAGAGGGAAAGGAAGAAAGGGTGTTTTGGAGATGCAGTGTCCTTGTCTAGGCAGACAAGTCTAAGTCTAGTATTATTTGAGTGAGCTGTTGTTAACTAGGAGGAAGGCATGATGGTACATGCAGGGATCTTAAGGACACAAGTCATCAGATGATAAGCAAGACACGTAGGCAGGGACATGTTGGAAACTAAAGACCAGCTTAAGTGATAACACAGTTTGCCTAGAATCATGTCAGACTGGGTGGTGATACTTACAATAGACATGTCGTCCTTGCCATCATCACAGCTACCATTTATCAGGTGCTCAGGCACCTGCTAATACGTGAAATATACACATGTTCTACATATATTATTTCACTTACTTCTCCCAATATAGCATTGAGTTGATATCTTTTTTTGACAAATGAGTAAACAGCTTGAGGCTTAAGCTTTGGCCAAAGAACTTACCCAAGGTGACACAGTTAGCATGGAGTATGGGACTTGAAATTAGGTCTTTGCGTTCCTAAAGGTCAGTGCCGATAAGCAGGAATCTCTACAACAGCTTTTACTGTCAGATTTGTGGGAATCATGCAATAGGTTTTTTGCTCAGTCCACGTGGAGTGAGTCTTGGGGTCAAATCACTAAAATCTACTAATGGATGGAATGCTTATGGTATAGTCAGTTCTGGTAATTTTAGAAATCAAGAACACTCAGTGATGAGTGGGGCTACAAAAGCCATCACACATGCTTTTAGGAAGGAAAAGGCAACTAAACTCCCTTTCAATCATTTATTTCATCGCATGCGCATTTGGCAAATCTGTCCCTGCTTCTGGTTGTTGTCCTTTTCTTAAATCAAGTATTTTCTTTGCATGGATTTCTTTATTTTGTGATCTCCTATTGTGTTTTCTTTTTAAATCATAGTTCGCAAGCTGTTTGATCTTAATAGATTTTAAAAACAAAGGTCCATTTTAATGTCAGTGCTTTTAAATTAACCCC